ATTTCTTTGCATTTTTAAAATAAATTGGTATTTTTTTAATTAAAATAAGGTTAATAAATAATAAATGATAATTGATAAATGCTTATTATCAAGCCTCTAAGGATTTATTAAAGAATATCGTTTATAGAAATTTTTTCAGGCAAAAATAATTTTTATTTTAAATAACTTAAAAAAAGAAGATTTTATTAGCTTTTAAATAATTATTTGTATTTATTAAATACAAAAAATTGTTGGCAAAATTGTTGGTATATTAAATATAAAAAATTTTGAGAATTATTTAGAGGTATTCGAGAGTATCTAATTTTAATTTGTCAGCTAAACAAATATTTAAAACAAAAATTTAAAGGGATATCATGAGGGTTTTTCTTGCGGTTGTTGAAGGAGAATTAGAAGGGGAAATTAACTGAGAGAGAACGAGGGAGAGAGTAATTATTTGAGCATATACGTTAATTGAGCATTTTCAATCAGTACATAATTTTATATCCATAATTAGCTCCCTTTTAATATTAATAAGTAAAATTTTTTTATCATGTTGACTAGGGTTGAGGTTTTCGAGTCGGGCCGTCGTTCGAGTCATTTTTTCGAGACTCATTTTTATCGGGCTGGCCGACCGAGTCTTTTTCTGGCCAAAATTTGATGACCGACTCGATCTTTCGGACCGGACCGGGCCCCTAACCCTAACGTTGAGAAAACTTTTTATGGCTTTTGGAAAAGTGACCAGAAAGTAATTGAACACGTTATTATGACATAACTTTATTCGAATTAAAGATAATGAGATCAAGTAAAGCTTAAATGGTAGAGAAATAAACGATCTATAATCACGAATAGGTAGTTTGTTTTGAGTTTTGTTTGATCAAAATCCATGATAGATTTTCGGGTTTCAGAAACGTTAAAGCGTTTATAATCGGTTTTGATCCCATTTGATCTTGCTAGTTTGTTAAGTTAAACTTCATACTATTAAGTTAGACTAGTTACTAGATACATCTCAATCTAATATGAAGTTTTTAATGTTTGTTTGCACACTAATTGGCGGAGCGAGATGCCTAAGAGCTAAATGCCTTTTACATAGTTAAGGTTACTGGGTTTAGGACCAATCCTTACTCTATCCCTCCGAATTTCTGAAAGTTAAAATCGTTTTTCTGAAATTTTTAAAAATTGGCTATAACTTTCAGAAATTTCGAGGGATAGGGCAAGGAATTATCCCAGACCCAGTGGGCGCAGGTCCCGAACATGAAGAAATGTTTTGGAACCATACCCCTAATTTGCAACACCAAGAAAAATCCAATTATTTTTTGATTGGACTCATAAAATCAAATAGAATCGTCTAAATATTTCTAAAAGAGGAGAGTTGGAGTACGAAATTGAATATTTCCAAAAAATTTATTTAAAACAGCTAATTAAACACAAAAACTAACCAAATTAAACGTAAACTTATTTTTTTATCGTTAATCAATAGAAGTTTTGAGAGTTAAAGCTTTGAAGTTAAAGCTTTTTCTAGAAAAGAAAAAAATTCCAAACGTATACGAAATTGAATATTACTTAAAATTTTACTTCTGGTATAATAAACCAGAAGTAAAACACTAGGGACGTCCAATTTGGTCTTGACTCTTAACTCAAGACGTTTCTTGAGAGTTTTGTCATCTCTGTATTGTGGTTGTCTTTGTCATGCAAAGATCCAATCTGTCTTGAATCTTAGAAAATTTTTGGTCCTAGGCGGCGTAGTATAGTAACAACAATAACGCCAAAACACTTTATTCTAGCTTAAATTAATTGAGAACTCAAAGTGCCATTATTTCATTAGTCGGAAAGACAAAATAAAAATTTAAAAATTATTAAATGTCTATTCACTCTAAAATTCTTTTTTGTCGGTTAATTATGAAATTTTATTTATTTTCATTATTTTGTCATTTCACGTGAGTAAAGGCTTTATGAAGTAGCGGCAAAAGTGCAAACAAATAATTTTATCTTTTATGTAAAATTTTTTAAAATTCATTCTTTTTATTTATTTTAAGCAATAATAAATTCATTTTTATTTATTTTAATTTTGAAATATCTTTTGTTTTTTCAAAAATTAATTTTAGATGAATTTGAAATTTATTTTAATTTATTTAATTTTTTATTTAAATATTTGCAATTCTGTACATATCCCAACAATTCTCGATCATTTGTCTTCTACAAATGCTAGAGAAGAATTTATTCAAAAAATGGAAACTGAATTTAAAAATCCTTTAAACGTCCCAATTGTTTTTCGTTTCCGAATTGCTTTTCTTTCAAGTATTTGGGAAGGGCCTCGCATTAATCCCATACGATTTCGTATCTTGCGTCATGTGGTAAATGAAGATTCGCGAACGGCATTAATTGACAAAGAGAATAATGATCTGGATGGAAAAATTCTGAACGTTATTAACCGTATTGCGAATTATAAAATATTATATAACAAAAGTCAGCAAGAAAATAAATTAACAGAGTTTGGATTAATGGAAGCGATTGAAGGGTTATTGAAACAGTTGGTCCCAATTTCCAAAGAAAACGATCTGCCTTGGGAACAGGCTAAAGATAAGGTTTACCAATTGATGAGAATAATTAAAGATTTGGAGTATGGCGAAAGAAAATTTAGTACCAAAGTCACAAAAAAAATTGGATCAATTTTGGTAAAAATGATACTGAAACTGGAAATTACTGGTAATAATTTAAATGATAAAGAACCAATTTAAGTATGTTTGAGAACTAGTAGATGAAAACAGATTGGACGGGACACCTAATTTATTGCCATAACAGGCTCCAAATTCTAAGGAAAACGTAATGACTTGAACAAAGTCAATGATATTTTTTTGGACTCGGAACCTTTAGAAGAATCAGAAAATCAAAGATTCTTTTATAACATGTAAATTACCCACTAAAATTCTTAATCTACAGAAGTTGACCGAAATTTTTCAAATAATCTGCGTGATGAAATGAGCTACGAAGAATTTAATTTTGAAGAATTTACTTATATGAAGATCATTAACAAAAATTTGGAAGAATTTATGGAAAATTTAGATTTTTCAGAGTTTATTCCATTGAAGCAAATGATTAAAATTGATCTAGTAACTATAAGCGATAAAGTCAAGGTTATTTATTGCTTAGTTTCACCCCATCCTAATTTCACTCCTGTCGCCAATTTTGGCGACTTTTCATTGAATTGTCTCTTTTTTAAATTGTCCCCCGTTCACTCCTCGTTAATTTTTTAGCCGTTCACCCTTTATTTTTTTCATTGTCCACTCAATCTTTTTAAACCTTTTTCCCGCCAAAATTTTTTCTCTCTATTTTTTAGTGACAGTTTGCGCCTGTCACAACTTAAATTTTTCCTATTGTTTTTTCCGATTGTCTTCTCTGCCCCGTTCTCTCTACACATTTGGTTTTCTATAATCTATTAAGCATTATTTTTCAAGTTCGCATTTTTTGAGTTTTTTGCCAAGACCCGCCCTCTTTTAATCTCTATTTAAGCCGAGGATCAGCCCCCCAAAAATTACCATTCACCTCCAGTTTTTACTTTCAACCGCTTCCAGTTTTCAATTTCAACTCTCATCTTTTGGTTGGCTGATCCGCGGCTTCTACCTTTGTTTAATTAGTGCTCGATTTATTTTACTGCTCTGTTTTTTTGGCTATTATTTTTTGTGGAAGAAGTAAATTTATTGTTGACTTGTCGTTGTATTTTGTTTGAGTGGAAAAGTGAACCGCCTCGAGGTTCACTTACTGTTCTCCTTCTGTTATTTGACTGTGTTGGCACAACCAACACAGTCTGGTGCCACGATCCTAAAAATCCAATTTGTCGGGAAGCCCGTCTCCCGACAAACTGGTGCCACGACCCGGGACGCCGTCGTGGTCAACTACAACACCAACTACCACAACAACAGTAAAGCAACTGGGTTATAGCTATTTCTCTCCTTCAGCTAGTGCGATAGGCTTTAACAATCAACTACCCGTTCCCCTTTTGTTAAGTCGGACAACTACGACTACAATTACCTGTTTTGAGTGAGCTACACCAATTAACCATGTCAGCGGTGATTCGTCTCCAGTTAGCAACCGTCTTATCAACACTCAAAGTAAAAGGGCGTGCCGTGTTAACCGCGTTGAATGCCACTGACACCACTGTGGATGAAGATGACCGTTTGGAGGCAGATGCTGTTCAACTTAGAGAAGCTGCTGGTCGTGCACAGGCACTGGTGGACAAATGGTCAGACTTCATTGCGCGACTCATGCCAACGGAACAACAGGACGAGATGGACATCCTTCAAGCCTTTCCGCCGCCTAGAGGCGAAGTCAGGGAGGATGATGAACCTACTGCGTTGGCGCAGATTGAGCGTTCCTATGAATTAGTGGACTTGGTTAATGTTTGCCTCCAGCAACGCAGAGTCGGCAATCGTGGTTCAGTCTCCTCACGAAGAACTGAGAAGTCCGTCACCGTTGGTAAAGAGCAAAATGATAACGCACGTCGCCAGGCTCATCACACACAAGATAATGGTCAACAAAACTACTCGCCTGAACACCCTGATGGATTTTTACGACGCCAAACTCAAGCACGGATTAACGAACAGCAAGCAACTGGTAATGGAACGAGTGCCCATCACACCAACTCCGCAAGTCAAGCCGGATTTTCACCGTACCAACAGCAGGGAACGTACAACGGTGCACCGATTTACTCAACCTTTAGGCCTTTTCGTCTTGAACCGATGAAGTTTGCTGGCGATCCCAAGGAATGGACTGCATTTTGGCTGGCATTCGACCGTGCTGTCAACAGTCAACCTCTTCCACCTTTTGAGAAGCACCTATGTTTATTGCAAAGTCTGGTACCTGGTTCTGCTGCGCGACGTGCAATTGATGGTTATCCGCCGTCGGATGAGAACTACCCGATGGTGGTCAGCATACTTCGGCGTCAATTTGGCGATGGAAAAGCCTTGCGAGAAGGACTGATTGCCGAGCTTTTACAACTCCAAGTGGCTAACAACTCACTTTTTTCAATGCGTAACCTCCGGGAACATGTGGAAAGAATTTGTCTCCAGCTGGAATCACCAGAGGGATCTAATGCAACCCAGGACGAAATCGTGTGTGGAATAATCAGATCTAAGCTGCCACGCGAAGCCTTGGAGATTTTGATTGGTTGGGAGCAGGACGATGAGGAATGGACTTTGGCTCACCTTCGCGCCGGACTGGGACGCATTGTTCAACGAAAAGAGCGTTTGGAGAGAACCATCACGACCTTGCGACCGGCTGTGCCTGAACGAAGGCCTCGGGAAGACGACCAACGCCAACGAAGTCAACCTCAAGACAGACAACCTCAACACCGTCCAGCACAAGTTTCACGTTCTTTTATCGCGGTCCAACCAGCTAGCAACCGTTATGAACGACTTCCACGACCACCATCCATGGCTATTGATAAAGGATGTTCTCTATGCAGTACAGGGTCCGAACACTTACCAAGTCAATGTACAACATGGAATACACCGCAGAAACGTCAATCGCGTTTACTGGAACAACATAGATGTCTCAATTGCCTCAGGAACGACCATACTCTCAATCAATGCCAAAGCATGAAGAGGTGCCGTATATGCAAAAACCGCCATCATTTTATCGTGTGTATGAAACAAGGACATATGGGACTTGAGGCACCACAAAATGGGAGTCAGCCTACCACTACCTCGAACGCAGGACGACCAACAGGAGCTAACTCACAACCGCTTGGCCAATCAACACGCGAAGTATCAACACTCAAACAAGCACCGACTACTCACACTGGAATGGCCACAGACCCACCTGCTATTGCTAAAGCAACTGAACTCAAGGCACAACCGACAAGCAGACCAAGAGCGCTACTCATGGTTACTGAAGTGGTTGTCCGGCCTATGGGAGCACGCAATCGTCAAGCCACGGCAGTCGTCTTCCTCGACCCTGGCAGTCAAACTAGTTTTATCTCGGGATCTCTTGTTCGCCAACTTGATTTGAAGAAAGAGCAGTCTGAGAAGATGCGTGTCCATGTACTTGGTGGTGAAAAGAAAGAACCGTTATGTTTTGATTCTGCGCGATACAAACTACAACTTAAGAGATTGGATGGTCAATGGGAGAAAATTGAACTCAACTATATTGAAGAAATTGCCGCCCAAATGGAAACTCCGAAATACATAGGCGACATCTGCTCGGATAGTTACGTGTTGAGAATGGACATTGGAAAACCGGACATACTAATTGGAACGCGGGAATTTTGGAAGTACTTCATTGGCTGTAAGATGACCAACCATGGATTTACAGTCATCCGAACTGTCCTTGGACCTGTACTTGGGGGAGAAGTGAACTTACCTGCTCTGACTGGGACTTCCTCATCGTTAATGGCGGTCAATCCTTATAATCAAGAACAAATGCCTTCAGCAACGACAATCGAAGAATTTTGGTCTCTGGAGACTATTGGAATAAAGGACGACCCAGCACAAGACGACGACCAACTGGCGGAGAAAATGGTTGACAAGTCAATTCGGCAGTTGGAGGATGGGCGTTACTGTGTGAAATGGCCGTGGCGGGATCCTTGTCCGGAGTTACCATCCAATTTTGCTATGGCCTATCGACGACTGGTGGCTACACTCAATCGACTACGAAACGAGCCAAGTCAGCTTAAGAAGTACAACGAAGTTATCGACGAGCAACGACAACAAGGAATCATAGAACAAACAAGTTGCAGTCCGGGTAGCCGCGAGCACTACCTGCCTCACCATGCCGTCATCACTCCGAAAAAATTGAGAGTGGTTTATGACGCTAGTGCCCATCCTAAAGGCCAAGCTTGTTTGAACGACTGTCTCTATCGTGGACCGGTTTTGTTACCTGATCTGGCTGGTGTGCTTCTCCGTTTCCGTAACTGCTCAATACCAGTGCTGGCTGACGTCGAAAAGGCTTTTCTGATGATTGAACTTGAACCAGAGGACCGTGAGGTGTGCAAATTTCTGTGGGCGAAGGACCCTATGCAATCACCAACTGGCGAGAACTTGTCTGTTTATCGATTTTGTCGTGTGGCTTTTGGAGTGGTCTCATCCCCGTTTATGTTGGCGGCCGTTATCCGTGCTCACTTGGCTAAATTTGGACTCGAACAAGATGCCGTGTTATTCAGAAATGTTTATGTGGACAATCTGCTTATTGAGTGTGAAAGCGAGGAAGAAGCAAGAACTAAAGCCATAGCTGCTAAAGAATTGTTTAAACAAGCAAAGATGAACTTACGTGAATATATTTCCAGCTCAGCTGATGTCATGAGTGCACTGCCGGAGGAGGACCGACTTGAGCAAACACAAGCTAAAGTTCTTGGAATTAGCTGGGACGTTCAATCTGACGAAATATCCTTCGAGCTCCCGACGATCAAGAACGATTCACCTGTCACTCGTCGCACTGTTCTGAGTGTGCTTGCTGGAATTTTTGATCCGTTGGGACTTATTGGACCATGCACTCTGGAGGCAAAGAAGTTCTTTCAAAAGTTATGGGATGAATCTCATGGATGGGATACCGAACTGTCCATTGGAGAATCTGAACATTGGAAAAGAATTTGCGCAGATTGGAATGGGGCCATCATCAGACAGGAACGTTTCGTGCTTGGGAAGAATAACGACATACAAATACACGTGTTTACTGATGCTTCCGAGACTTCTTATGCTGCTGCAGTCTATTTAAAAACCGCGTCAAAGGCCAAGCTTGTGTTTGCAAAAGTGAGACTTAAACCAAGGAAAGCTCGTGAAACGATGACTATACCACGTATGGAACTCATGGGGGTGCTTTTGGGTGTGCGAGCAACGGCCTTTGTTAATGCGCAGATCCACCGACCAATTACCGCAACTCACTTGTGGTGCGACTCGCAAATAGTCTTAGCATGGATAAAAAGTAAAGAAACTCAACCTGTCTTCGTTGAAAACCGCCTGCGGGAAATTAGAAAGCAAGAGAATATGACTTTCCACTATGTGAATACCAGCTTCAACCCTGCTGATGTAGCGACACGCGGAACCACCGCAGCTCAACTTGCGGAAAGCAAACTCTGGTGGAACGGACCGACCTGGATTAACGCCCCCTCCGACCAATGGCCTAGCGAAATGGAATTCAACTTACCTGTAGAGAGTGAAATGGCACAAAATGAGAATTTGGACGAACAATTTGTTGGTGTCGTTAACGAATTACAGGCTGAATCTATCTTTGAGGCGAAACGATTTAGTTCGTGGCTTACCTTGCTTGGAACAGTCATTTGGGTGCTACGTTTCATCAAGCTACGTTGTGTACAGTTTCCAACCTGTATTTCTACAAATGGTATTTTTACTGCCAAAGATTACCGAATTGCTCGTTCCTTGCTCATCCGATTAGCACAACGTGAACATAAACTGGAAATGAAAAGCATACATACTATGATTGACTCGGAAGGAATAATACGAATAAAAACGAGGATTGACAAGAACGCTGAAGCTTGTGCGCCTTCTAATCCCATTTGGTTACCACGCCATGCTGGGATTACTTCTCTGATTATTCGGGACGTGCATCAACGACTCAAACATGCTGGAGTTGACTGGACCCTCACCGAACTATTACGAGAATTTTTCTTGCCTCAGGCGCGAAGGACCACCAAACACGTACTTTCTCAGTGTACTCGATGTCGACTAATGAATAAACCAAAATATGCCCTACCTACTATGCCACAACTTCCTGCTGATAGAGTCCAACGAAGACGACCATTCGATTCTGTTGGTCTCGACTATCTTGGCCCTACACTCGCCCGACAAGCCGGAGTGGTTGTCAAAGTTTGGATTGTCATTATCACATGTTTGTCCGTTAGAGCAGTATATTTGGAACCGACTTACGACTTGAGTGCACCATCGTTTATCAATGTGCTGAGGCGCTTCATCAGCAGACGAGGAAAGCCTAGAAGAATTCTTTCCGATAATGCGCCGACATTTGTGCAAACAGGAAAAGCCCTCAAGACACTAGCGATGACAGAAGACCCAGCAGAATTCTCGGCACGTTCTGGAATTGATTGGCACTTTATACCGCAACTTAGCCCTTGGGCAGGTGGAATATACGAGCGCTTAGTGGCTTTGGTCAAACATTCAATTCAACGGACACTTGGACGAAGAATTTTACCGTGTGACGACTTGAGCGCCTTTCTGACCGAAGCTGAAGCTAGTATAAACTCCAGACCAATCACAACTGTCTCTGATGCTGAAGGAGCTCCAATACCGCTGCGGCCTATGGATTTTTTGTTACCTGGAGCGGACATGCACTTGGCCACTACCCAAATGGAGGACGACGAGGATAAACGTTTACCTTCCCATGAAAAGTTGGCAAACCTTTGGCGTGTCACTCAGGAAGCTGTTGAATATTACTGGACTCGTTGGACCAAGGAATACTTGCTTGTGTTGCGTGAGAGAGCAGGATGGACACACCGTGGACCTCGATGTCAAGATAAATCTATACCCATGGTTGGTGATGTGGTGCTGATAGAAGAAGACCTGCGTCCTCGCAATTTGTGGTGCTTGGGAAGAATTACCGAATTAAATGGTCGAGAACCCAATATTAGAAGCGCCAAGGTGTTGATGGCGAATGGCAAAACACTAACCCGACCGATCAACCGTTTATGTCCACTAGAGGCGAGTAACAATGTTGAAATTGCAATGACACCCACGCCTGACACTGTGAAGGAACCATCAACTCAGCGAACTAAAAAGCTCAAAGAAAAACATTCTAACTTACCAAAGCCACCTTGTCACAAAATGATTACAAGAGCACAAGCAAGAATGGGAACTTTGGCTTTAACTTGTTTTATTGCATTCGCCTACCCTCTGGTAGAGGCAAATATCACCAGCCACGTCCTGTGTACCACTAAGGGAGTTATCGTCACCAGCCCGTCTAACATTCAAAAGACTGAAATTTGTTGTATGGGATCCTGCTGGGTGCGAGCAGCAACAAATAGATTTGTTTTCGAGCTACCGATAGAAACACTGGTTAATGATTACGTCTGCACGGGACACTTCTGGTACAACTCAGAGAACTCAACGGAGATCGAACAACGTTGCCCTGCAGTGGATGAATGCTTGCTGATCGAATGTACTTTCTGTTGGGACTTAATTACAAACCCAACGTGTCGTCCGCAAACAGCTATGATAATCATTGGACTCTCAATTGCACTTGTGCTGAGCCTACTTGGATTTATATGGACACTATTCCGACGAATGACCAAAGGAGCCAAACTTGTTTGTCAATTATTGGCGTGGATTACCGCAGGCCCTGCACTTGCTTTTAATTGGTTCAATAATCGAGGACAACCAGGCGCGGGTAGAAGTCAATCAACAGCTAATTTAAGAACAGGAATTAGAACAGTCAAAAGGAAAGTGACTTCGGTTCAAACTGGCTTTCGACGCTTCCGGGATCAAAGGATGCGAAGATTTGATTGGTTGTTAGCTATTATTGCTCTTGCTTTGATTCTAACTGACACTTGTACGGGATCAGAGACTGTTTCTATTGTCACCAAATCAGAAAGCTGTCTAAGATCGGCTCATGGCCTAGTTTGTACCATTCGCTCTGCTACGACACTCACTCTCTTACCGGCCGGACAAACGTCTAATCTGTTGCTGAAAGACGAACATGGACTGGCCTTAGGCGTACTTAGCACTACCTTCCACGCAACAAGGATGGAATGTTTGCAAAAGTCAGAGGCTTGGTTGCGTTCCTATGAAATGAAAGTCTCCTCAATAAAACGTTGCCCTACTGCCGGATCGTGTCGTGGAAATTATTGCTCCGAGGTAACAACCGACTCGTTAATTCCTGAACTGAAAGAAGTCAACAACTTCCCCGGAAAGAGCTTTTGTGTGGACAGTTCAAGTTTTTGGCAAAATCAATGTGGACTACCTGCCTCCGCTTGTCTTTACTACCGCTGGTATGCACGAACAACCTCTCGACCACCGTTTGAAGTTGTGAGCTGTCCAGCATGGGATGTAACGTTCCCCGTCGACCTACGACTTGAACTTACTGGTGGAAAGTCATGGAATACTGAGCTAGTCCTACGACCTGGAATGACATCGAATTGGGGAAATATTTCAATTACACCACTTTCTGTTTCATTACCACCTATGCCTACTTTAAGCAATCGGTTTATCACTAATGGTAGAGCAACGGCTTTAATTCAACACATTCCGACTCACTTACATTGTGCTGACGAGGATGCAGCTAGACAATTCAATTGCACGTTGGATATCGACACTTGTAAAGACTGTAAACCAAACCATGAGGAAGGATCTGTTTCGTGTCACTGTCAGGATGTGGATGTTGAGGGAATACTTGAGAACCCTATGGCTCGCTTGCCCATCACCGTTGCTAAAGTTTATGTGTACAATGAAGGCCCAGCTATCTATGCCGAACATTCCTACAGCCCAGTTCAACTTCATGTGCAAATGAAAGACCTACAACTTATTTTGGAATTCCGGGACTCAAAATGTTGGATCGAACCTATCTCATTGGTTGGCTGTTACAAGTGCCCTACGGGTGCGCAACTGCGTTATAAATGTCGTACGGATTGGGGAACTGCCCTTGCTAAAGTCGAATGTGACGATGGTGTAGTATTTGCCACTCAATGCAACACCAATAACACAGAGAAAATGATAGTTTTACCATTTGACCGGTCCTTAATCGCTAGTAATTGTATGGTTGACTGTCCAGCCGGCGAGACGTCCTTTAACATTTCTGCTGAACTACACTATATCCCGCTTAAACGACAATTTGGACATAAACAGAGGCTGTCCGAGCGATTGGAAACTGAACCGGATGAAGGCTGGAATTGGCCAATGGACTTTAGTTTCGACCCGTTCGCCATTATTCGACTATGGGCTAGTGTACCACTCTTACTTATGTGTGTGTTTGCGTTGGTAGTTGGACTATTCGCGCTGTACGTGGCTATCAAATTCTCACCAATTTACCGAGCCTATAAGCTGGCAGCTTGGCTTTTTCTGCAACAAGGTCATAGACCTGATAATGTAACGAAATTTACGAAGGCGATGTTATTACTTATGGTTACTAGCGGCGGACATGCTCAGGAAAGTCACGCACATCATAAAGTACTGAAAATTTCAAACCTTGAAAATAAACCTGAAAATACACTATCCGATGGAATTGTATTGTTAGCATATTTTGTCTTGGTGGCTCTGTTCGTGCTGAATTTCGGTCTGACAATATTGAGGGAATGCGCCAGGCAACGAGAACGCAGAGCCCAACAGCAACGTGACTTACTTGCTTCGACTGTAATAGTAGCCTTGGTATCAACTATCTGGTCACCCACACCCGCTGCTACAAATCATTCGAAAACGAGCTTTTTGGCCGCTGAAAAAATCCTATCTATTAGCCAAGCTGGAATTACCGCGGCTGCAACAGAGGTCCAAATTATGAGCTTTTTGGCCGCTGGAAGGTTCCGGTGTGTTTACCAAGCTGGAATTACCGCGACTGCTAGAGGAAAAATTAGTGATACTGCGGGGTGCAAAAGGAACAAACTAAAATCGAAAGTAATTAAACAGCCAGTCACAATAAAAGCTCTGATAACTCACAATTATGCAATAGATTCCTGCATAGAACACAATAAAAGCTACTCTATGGATAAAAGACTCAATTTCTTGATTATTTTTTACAACTCCTCCAATCAATATATATCAGTTTATGGATCTATATATCAGTTTGTGGGTCTAAATTGGGAGGATTACAACCGACAGTTAAACTTTAACCGATCCCCCATCATTTTTTCGTCAATTATTTCTGGTGACTTTGCCACTCGATTATTGCAATTCTTTGGCCTAGCTAAAAGAGAAAAAGAAAATGTGCTTGTCATCGACACACCAAACTTGAAAAATTTTCATTTTTTGGCCCTAAATACAAAAGAAACGTTCCCTTTTAATTTATGCTTAAACAAAGAAAAGGAGAAGTCTTCTCTGCTCAACTTGGCCATTGATTTGGATAGTTTTGCACCAGCCACCTGCTTGGCAATAAAATTTTCTTTTGAATTGAACTTGCGCCGATTAAAAGAAAGGTTACGTAACCTATCTTCATCCCCGCCTCCTTATTGTGAAGTGATGGAAAAAGTCGCTCTATATAATCTGAAAATTAGCCATAATACTTTAAAATTTCTACAATCAGTAACGATGGAACCAGCACCAATTAAAGAAAAAGCCTCGACAACAGTGACTAGTACCCCACCTTCTAAAACAACACGGTGTTCATCATGTGTCAGCAAGGGAGTGCCGCAGCCTCATGGGCATCGAGCGTGTGATAAAGCGTGTCCTTATTTTTCGGAATGGAGACAACAGCAGAAGATTAAATCTGGTAGTGTGCAACAACAAAATCAACAAGCCGCTTTAGAGGAAGAAGAAGCCATCGCCAACCTTATAAAAACACAACAACCGGAACAAGAGAAACAACAACAACATAGTTTGGAAAATGAACGGGCCCCAGTGGAAACAACACGTGAAATGGATCAAGAATTAAAGAAAGGTGTGATGCGGGAAGCTGCAAAACTCATAACCAGTGCCCCAGGATGTGACCCGTTGGAAGAACTGGCTTGTGTAGACGCTGATTTAAGTTCTAGTGGAAGTGTTGACCAAAAGGACTTAGCAAAATGGGCTATAAATCGACTTCGTGAAAGATTGGCATTAACAACTAATGAAGTGGTGGAAGAGCTGGAAGAAGAAAATGTTAGTAGCGACCAACAACACGAACGACAAGAGGCACCGGAAGAGGATGAAGGCTTAATTTTTAGTGAATCAGACAACGGACAAGCGACCCCACCAAGCGAGAAACAAAGCAGCAGTCAACAACTTTCTATAGAGCGTGAACGACAAATCAACGACAAAAAACGACTCAAATCTTATCGAGATCGAAAACGTGGATTTCGGGATGCTAAGACTAAACCTTCTCAACTTGCAATGGCAGCAATTGAGGGCAATCGAAAATTAAATGAAGAAAACGCAGCATTGGCTCGTGACCCCAAACGACTAGAAGCAGCTAAAACCGCGCATCGTGCAGCCGTCAAAGTGTTGAAGAGGAGAGGTGAAACAACGGACTCTAAAGAAAAAAGATTGAAAGCTATCGAAGAAGGTCCTGGTTGGCGTTATCGCACATTCTCAAAACTGCCTGACAAAGGAGGACTTACAGAACGTGATCCGAAAACAACACAGCTATTGCGTAAAGAAAAGGCAGCAGCACTACGAACCGCAGATTTTTATTTGAAGAGAGCTGAAGAAGATAGAGTGGGTTTGGCAGCACTTCTACCGGAGAAAAAACAACGAAAGGAAAGTAAATCACCAAGCCGTCATCGTAAAAGTCGTTCATCAGAGAGACAACGTCGACGACGAGATAGTCCGCTGGTAGAGCGTCGCCCCTCACCAAAGTCTCAAAAAAGGGGTAGTAGCGAAAGGACGCGTCACCACCACCGCCATCATGCAAAACAACGTAATGTAGCGACCAGCACCGACGACCTAATCGTAGTTAAAGAAAAGAAGAATCCACCACCACCCCCGATCAAACTGTCTATAGTGCGGGGTCATTCCATCAATATCGTCTCTAGCCTGCCCAACCCAGCCACATTATTATTAAATGCTAATGAAACAACACGTCAAACTGCCATGCACCTTCTCACATCCACAGCTCTCTACATGGCTCAAAATCTTCCGTCTGGTTCTTCAATATGGCCCAAGAATGAAGAAAAACGGGATGGTTGAATATTTATTTTTTTGTTATGATTTTGGGGATTTTTCTAGGCCGGGGGGAGTGTCGCCAATTTTGGCGACTTTTCATTGAATTGTCTCTTTTTTAAATTGTCCCCCGTTCACTCCTCGTTAATTTTTTAGCCGTTCACCCTTTATTTTTTTCATTGTCCACTCAATCTTTTTAAACCTTTTTCCCGCCAAAATTTTTTCTCTCTATTTTTTAGTGACAGTTTGCGCCTGTCACAACTTAAATTTTTCCTATTGTTTTTTCCGATTGTCTTCTCTGCCCCGTTCTCTCTACACATTTGGTTTTCTATAATCTATTAAGCATTATTTTTCAAGTTCGCATTTTTTGAGTTTTTTGCCAAGACCCGCCCTCTTTTAATCTCTATTTAAGCCGAGGATCAGCCCCCCAAAAATTACCATTCACCTCCAGTTTTTACTTTCAACCGCTTCCAGTTTTCAATTTCAACTCTCATCTTTTGGTTGGCTGATCCGCGGCTTCTACCTTTGTTTAATTAGTGCTCGATTTATTTTACTGCTCTGTTTTTTTGGCTATTATTTTTTGTGGAAGAAGTAAATTTATTGTTGACTTGTCGTTGTATTTTGTTTGAGTGGAAAAGTGAACCGCCTCGAGGTTCACTTACTGTTCTCCTTCTGTTATTTGACTGTGTTGGCACAACCAACACAGTCTGGTGCCACGATCCTAAAAATCCAATTTGTCGGGAAGCCCGTCTCCCGACAACTCCATTCCTTTAACTAACATGTGAGGTTTAGAGGGAGGGATGTAATTAAGGTTGAGAAGATAAGAGAGAAAATAGAGAAGAATAAGAATATTTGAGCCGCCACAAGGAAAAATTAACAGGCAACACCTAATTGCACTCTAGTACAATTTTAGTTAAAATATACATATTTTTACAATTTTAGAAATTTTTGGAATCCGTTTATTTGCCGACAAATTTGCATATAAAACTCTTCTTTTACTTTTTACTATCATATTATGTTGATTTACTTGATAAAGGAGGCGAAAAACGTATTAAATATTTTGAAAATATCAACCTAGTAGATTCTAATCTTTCTGAGGGATTTACTTATATCTACACAGCTGATTGGTTACAAAATGCTTTAATGATACCTCTAGAAGAAGAAATTCATGATTATGTGAGATATATCGAAAATTCTTATGAAATCATTTTGCTTGGCCAGATGGTGTAGGAAGGTGTTCTAAGCAATACAACCAACCATTTAAGATTCACTCATTCGTTTATGTTTAAGTTTTACAGTTCAGATGTTGATGTTTAAAAGATTACCCTCAATTATGGGATTACCCCCGACTTTCAGTTAGGATATCCTTTAATTTTTTAGACCAAATGGACCCAAAAATGATAGCCCATTTATATTGGTTAAAAACAGATTTTTTGACAGATTTTCAAAAACAACAATCAACTCCATTTATTATTTCATATAATAAAAATGAGTATATCTCCATTTACTGACAGCTACAAGGACAAATTATTATTATTTAATATATTTCGATTTGATAGAATCGGAAATCAGTTGAATGAGGAAATTGAAATATTGACTAAAATATTAGTAGAAATAAAAGAAAAATTGAATTCCAGCTCTGATCAAGATAACATTTAATAGATTTATTATAAGAATATTAGGAAACTAAAAATTATTGTAAAAAGTCATCCTCCTCACTAATTTTAACCATAAGGTTATCGTTTTCAAACTGAACCGAACCGGTCCAAAACCCAAAGAATTTATGTTCGGTTATCAGATTGGTGAAACCGGTATGCCTAGTCAAACACTTTAGAAAAGAACTAAAAGGTACATAACGAGATCCAGCTGTAATGGTCTAGTGTAGAGTTGGACAAGCCGAGACCGATACCGAGACCGAGATTCTCGGCTTTTTTCCAATATCGGTCTCGGTTTTTTCATTCTCGGTCTCGAAACCGATACCGATATTCTCGGTCCATTTCTCGGCGAGAAACGATACTGACTCAAAGACCCCAATTTTCTTGTATTTTTCAATAAAACTGAGGATTTTTGACCTTTGGCCTTCTGAATTTCAAAAAATTTTCGCCTGTGGCGCTGAAAAGAGTGAATCCTTCTTTATTTGCCTTACAAAATCCGAGCATTTCACTAAGCCCTCACGATTGAGTTCGCACGACTGAGATGCTCTTTTATCTAGCTCAATTGAGTCCCAGTAATATAATAAAATTAAAAGGCTTAAATACAATACTGGGTTATTTGGAGGGATTTGGGTGTTTATGGGGATATCAATGGATTTGGAGGGATATCGAATGTAATCGAATGTAATATACTTTTGGAACAGAGTGTATAATCCTTTTACATATAAATCCTACTATTGTATTTTTTATAAAAAAGGATGTTAACCATCAATCGAATCGGATCCAGATGATGAAGAGTATTTATCGATGATGAAAATAATGAATAAATTATTTTTACACGTATTTTTGACGTAAAATAAAATTTTCTGTTAGTCTCGGTCAGTATCGTTTCTCGGTATCGGTCTCGGCTCAAAATGTTGGTATCGGTCTCGGTATCGGGTTCTTGAGTATCGGTTAATCTCGGTCTCGGGTTGGCCGATACCAGTATCGTTTTGTCCAACTCTAGTCTAGTGAAGCTAATTTTTAACTACACTTCCTTCATAAATGTACTAGCCTTAATGTTTACTTAACCGCAAGTTTGAAATAAAAGCAACAATATAGCAAATAAATAACCAAAAAATTTATTATTATTAAAAAAAATAATGTAAAATCTAAATTTAAGTCCATCAACATCTCAAATAAATTCAAAATGTGATCAAATAATTGAAAAATTGACATCTAAATTTATCAACCCAGTTTCTAACATTTCTGCTTCAGACAAAATAAATTTCACTTCAATAACCAACGGGGCTTTAACCCGATTAAAAACAACCTGTGATGCAAATGTTTTAGAATTTTATAGTTATATTTATACGAAATTGGCAGAAAATAAAGATGCAAATGAGTGGATTAAAAAATTTTCAACTTCTGTTGATTACGAAATTATAATGGCAATCTTTATGGAAAGTTTACAATGATAATAAAACTATTCTCAGTTTTACTTCTTTTTTACCGTTTATTAATCAAATTTTATTTGAAATTTTCTTGGATTGAAAGATGTTTTTTACTTTTCTTTTCTATCGAAACTATCCTTTCAGATCTATTTCTGTTGGAACTATCCATAAACAATTTCTACATTTCTGTTGGCAATTGGACATTGAAAAAATTTTTATTTCCATAATTTAAATAAAATAATGAATATATTTTTTATTCTCTTTAACTTTTCCGATAAAATTATTTATAAATTAAAAGGTACATAAATTATTATTGTAGCTAAATAAAAAATTAGATATAGAAAATCTTACCCTCCTCGGGTAAGATTTTATTTCATTCCCGAACGAGTGATTGACGAAGTGACTCCAAACATCTTCAAAATATACCATTCGCGGAACGATTACCATTCATGAGACAAGGCAAAACCCTATAAATTGGCTGGGAAGTAACTATGCATATCTTTAGCCCTGTAGGCATGGATGAATTCCACTGAAAGATTTAGTTCTTATGCCAAAAGTAGCCTCGGATCTAGGAGTAGTATAAATACGATTTTTAAGACATTTTTTAAAAAATGTCTTAAAACATCGTATTTGAAAAGGTGTTTAAAATATTTTAAATAAAAATGTCTCTTTCGGTCACAAACATTCCAAATACCAGATAAACCTAAGCATATAGGTAATATATTGAAATAAAATTTAAATAAAAAATTAATAATTTGCTCAAAAAATAATAAATTTTTCTCTAAGTGGAAAATAAGGAAATAATATAATAAAAAACCAGGTTAGCACATAGAAAGGAATAGAACAGAAAATAAAAAACATCTTTAAATTGAATCATCATTTAATAGAAAATGGAACCATGAAATAAAAAGTTGAAAAAATAAAAATTATTCGCTTAAAAAATAATTATTTTTTTCTCTGAGTGGAAAAAGAAAAATAAAATCAAAATATAGGTTAGCACTCAGAGAGAAGTAGAAAAGAAAAATAAAAAACAGCTGAAATTGGAAACATTAAGTACTAAAAATGTAAACATGAAATGGAAATTAAAAAAAAATAAAAATTATTTACTTATAATAAAATTTTTTGTGCAAGTGTAAAACAGGAAATAAAACTAAAAAATAGGGAAGCATTTAAATTTAAAAGTTTTTGCTGAATATAAAATTTTCTTTGTGATAAATGTAAATTATAAATAGAATATTTTCAAGTTAGAAAACCAACAATTTTTTAAAAAAAATTTAAAAATAGAAAAAAATATCTGAGTGCTATTAAAAATGTCTGAGTGCTAAAAAATAGATGAAAGGTGGAATGAGGGAATAAGTGCTAAAAAAATTTGCGCAAAATTATTAAAAACCTGTAATAATTATTGCGAAAAAATTAATGCATCAAAAATAAAAATAAAGCGGAAAATTCCTTGAAACAAGTCGTACTTAAAATAGAGATATATAAATAAGGAAAAAACGAGAAAAAATCACAATTATCAAAAATCAAACACTACAACAAAAATTTGGAGCAAAAAAACTTTAAAAAAAAAATAATGGAAAATTTTAAAACATGATCTAGCAATTATTAAAAATTAAAATTTGTAAAGTAAAAATTTTTACGATGCTAA